ATCCCCCGGTGATCATATTAATCACTCTGCAGATTGGTCTCTCTTCTGGTAGCGGGCGAGGTGGTTGTTCGTTATGTTTGTTACTCTCTAGGGCGTCTTTTTTCATATCTCCCTGTCGGTTCCCTTGTTCCTTTTCTTCGTGTAGAATGTACTTTTTTCAAGTACCCACGATGGATCAGCTCTTCAATTTTGTCGCGGAGGTTTCTATAGTTTTCTATGCTGTGACCATGGTCCCGATGAAAGTGACAATAAACGTTCGGGTTCCTAGTCGTTGGATCTCCGTGGAGACTAGGTGGCCATCTGACGATAGGGGAATCCTTTATTTCCATTAAGATCTCTCCTTGCTTCGTGTTCAAAGGGGTGTAGTTCATCCTCTCGACTAGAGGGGTCCTGAAACGCCAACCCGATCTGTAGCTTCGCGAGGGGGATTTGCTTCTTCACTTGGGGGACTTACTTTTCTTTCTTTTCTTGTTGCTCATCCCCTCTTCCTCCCTCTTCATTTTTTCTCTTGGCTGGTTGTCAGTTTTCTGGTTTATTTCCTCTTCAGTGCTGATAAGTTGGTCTGCCAACTGGAGGAACTCGGTGATGTTTTTTGATTTATTGGCTACAACATGCCACTTGAACTCTTTATGGGTGATGCCTTTGTGTGTTGCGATGAGACGTACTACTGGGTCAAGGTCCGGTATCTGTAGGCAGGTCTCGTTGAAGCGTTTAATATAGTTGCGGATTGACTCTCCCTCCCTTTGCACCACGTTTAGAACACTCTCCTGTGACTTCAGACACTTCTTACTAGTGATGAACTGGGCCGTGAACATGTCTGCGAACTGCACCCAACTTCCGATGGAACCCGGCGCTAGGTTTCTATACCAGGTTCGAGCTACTCCTTTGAACGTGGTAGAGAAAGCCACGCACATACAAGCCTCATCGGCCCCGACGAGGTGCATTTGGGACTGGAATGTGTTCACATGATCATTGGGATCAAAGGACCCATCGTACTTGTCTAGCGGTGGGACCTTGAAATCTTTCGGCATTGGAGCTGCAAGGAGCTCGGGTGTCAGGGGAGAAGGCCGGCTCAAAAGTGCAGGCGTTGTTCCTGTGGCCACCGAGCTCACCTCCTCTCTTTCCTGTCCTTGGTCAGCCGGATGGTTGGGCTTTGCTGTTGGATCATTTCTTGTTGATGAACGGCGAGTCTTGCGACGTCGCCGTCGCTGCTTTTTCGGTGGAGCGACATTTGTACTGTCAGTCTCCGTATTGTTAGTCACTTTGGTCTTACTTCGAATAGTAGGGTGAGTTGGTTCAAAGATTCTTCTCGCCGCCTCCTCTTCATCATGTGTTCGATGCTGGTTGCTGCAAGGAACCGAGGGGTCTCTCCTGGAGCCCGCACCTCGGACCTCGGATTAGT